CCAGCACGGCGTTCCAACGAATGATTTGCACCTACCAAAAGATCGAGGTTTATGCTCACCGTGACGTGAGGTCGTTGTGGATGAAGAGGAGGAGTTGGCTGATCGTTGAACTCCAGGTAGGCTTGAAGGCTCTTCAGTATCTAAAAGAAACGCTGCAACTCCCAAGTCACCTAGTAAGACAGTCCCATCGTCATCGATGAGAAGATTGGCGGCTTTTATATCCCGGTGAATGAACCCGTTAACGTGCAGATAAGTTAAAGACTTGATGAAAGATGTCAAGAGCGATGCGGGAGAGGAGAAAAATGAGAGTTAGCTGCTCTGCGAATAGTCTCTTGAGTTACAAACTTGATTCCTTCGAGTGCCTGTCTCAGTATACATTTAACAACTTCTTCCTGCATTCCCCCAGGCCATCCGTAGCGCCTGATATCAGCAGCGCTGCCGGCGTTCATGAGGCGAAGAGCAATGTAAAGTTTGTGGCCGTCGATCCATGTACCTCGAACACGAAGCACATTTGGATGCTTGGCGAGGTACATGAGCTGCGTTTTCCTTTGTAGGAGGTGTAGAGAACGTCCAGGAAGACTATCGAGGTCAAGCACTTTGAGAGCACAGGGTATTGCAATAGATGTGGTTGATGGTTTGTATTTAGCAGAGTAGACGATGGAAGATGCACCAAATCCAATGGGAGAACCTAGTTTGTAGTCTGAGGGATCAGAGTACAGTTTCCACTCGTCTTCTACAGCACCAATGAATGTGCGACGAATATTCATAGCAGGAGAAGATGGGGGACAAGAAAGAGTAGGTTGATAGGTAAGCGATTGAACGGCGAAGGTTGTCATGTGCGATACGATTGAGGTTGATACTTGAACATATGTCTCATTATGGCTTTGCAGATGAATCAAGATGAAAAGGAGGGAAGAAGTTAGAAGGAGGACCGTATTGCAGTAGTCTACTACTATTCTTCATCAGACATAAATCACGTGCAGTTATACAATGCACGTGATTTATTTATCCGGCAACGTGTAACTACGTCACCATATTAGACCTCGGACTTGTCCATTATTCCGGTATTGTTGGCTTACATAACAACTACCCATCTCGGAAGATTTCAAGTTTTCCGAAATTCAGAGGTTCCCGAGTTTCGTCAACGTTGAGACCTACTGCGATACCAGAAATCTCGAGCTGGTGCATTTTTTTGGTAGGTCCAACTTGACATTTAAGAATCGTATCAATTGCATTGAAAGAGACCATTTCTAGGATCGGATCTCGTCAATATTACTGGAAATTGCATAAGAAAATTCCCAATATATGGAGAACGGGTGAGATCGGTTACGAGTAGTTGTACTACGTTCAATATCCAACATCGTGGTTTTGATAGGTCTTTCGCGGCCACTTCGGTGCTCACCCAACCGAATAAAGATGTTATCCGAGTTCGAAACCTCTCGGTGATCGCGTCCTTCAACGATGGCGCGCAATGGCCTTCGTCCAATAACAAATCAAAATCACAACCTCTCAATATCACGCTAACCATTGTGCATGATATAACCAAAACTGCTGAAACGGATGACTTGGTTCACTCAATAGACTATTCAAGTATATGCAAAACGCTGGTGGAAACATCATCGTCCCGAGATTTCAATTCTATCGAATGTTTGACAGATTACCTTTTGGACCAAGTCCTTTCCAAACATCAAGACGTTGAGGAGATATCTATCTCAGTGACGCGAACGAGAGCATTGCTTCATCCCGCTGCTACACGTATACGAACATCGAGGAGAAGACCCGCGACGACACAACAACTAATCGGCCAAGACAACCTCGAAGAGATTGGGATCATCGATCTGGAATGTCGAACCATAGTCGGCATCAATCCATGCGAACGTGAAGAATCCCAAATAGTTACATTCGATATCCTACTCATTCGGAAATCATATCGTACCGTGCTCTTCAATTTCAGGGCGCTGGCCAATAAGATCTATTCAGTGAGTGCCAGGATCTACATTTTTGAAGACAGAAATAGATTGATAGGAGTGTCTTACAGTATGTCACAGACTCCAAGTTCTACACCCTGGAAGCTCTGGCGTCTTCAGTCGCTCGAGTCACCCTGGAATTCGTGGCTCAAACAGGCTCTCACCATGAGTACGTTAACGTTCGAGCTGGGAAGCGAAGTGCACTAGTCCTGGCAGATGCAGCTGAAGTCGAAGTCACCCGATCTCTTCATGATGGAATGCTTGTACCTTATCAGACTCATCGTGCATCTTCTACCGTTGCCGCAACCTCCACTCAAGGGGAATCTAGTTCCTCTGACTCGGAGAAAACGCTACTCGCATCTTCACGCATCTCCAAAATCACATCTTCCCAACCGTCTATTCCGACATCCGCTTCTGGTACAACCGTGGTTGGTCCTGTGGAACCGTCTTCAAAACCAGCCAGCAGGACTGCTACTCCGGTCTCCACGTCATCATCAGATGATACTTCAGCGGCACTTTCCGCTTTAGCTTCCAGTCTTACAATTGGCGATAACACTCGACACAAAGCTGCGATTGCTCTCGGATCTAATCTTGGTGATCGATTCCACAACATTGAATTGGCTCTAAGGCTATTCGAAGCAGACGGAATCCATTACAGTCGACTGACTTCCGGTGGATATGTCAATGTCATTGACACCAGTTTCATGTATGAAACGGAACCAATGTATGTGCTCGATCAACCTAAGTTTATCAACTGCACGTGTATGGTGAGTGAACTCGAACCAGAAACTCATCAGGGCTCATAAAAATGATTATTTGCATAGGTCGAGACTAACCTGAGTGCATTGGAGCTTCTAACACTCCTAAAAAGAATCGAGACTATTGTTGGACGTGTCACTTCTTTCAGGAACGGGCCCCGGGCAATCGACTTGGATATCCTGCTCTACGACTCACAGATCATCGATACAAGACCGATCAATGAGCGAACGTTGGATAATCTAGAAGGTCATCTTGTGGTACCTCATCCTCGTATGCTGGAGAGAGAGTTTGTCCTGAGGCCACTACATGAGTATGTTCAATGTCATTCATATTCTGTTCGACTGCTAACTATTGAACTGTCACTTCAGCATGATTCCAGAATATGTACATCCCATTTCAAAAAGAACAATTCAAGAACTCTTCACTCAAATCACAAGGAAGACATCAGAAGCGCAAATTATGTACAAAGTCATTCCTTTCCCTCGATACCCACTCACGCGCTCTGGACCTTCAGAAGATCAACGTATTGGGATGACCAAGCTCCCAGAAATCCCTCCCGTCCCTGCCACAGCTACATACTGGAAATTCCCAGTCGTCGATCGCACATCCTTGAAAGGAACTGCTGCTTCATCGGGAAGACCTAGGAAAACTTACATTATGGGCACACTAAATGTCACGCCTGATTCGTTCTCCGATGGTGCCGTCCACAATAGTATTCCTGCTGCGCTAGCATACGCTCGTGCTTCTGTAGCTGGAGGAGCTGATGTTATCGATATCGGTGGGTATTCGACTCGGCCAGGAGCAGCATACGTCTCGCCAGAGGAAGAATTGACTCGAGTCGTGCCAGTCGTTCAAGCCATTAGGACTCTAGGACAGTATCACCATCACACGGTTCCAGATGATCCAGAGTTGGATAACAGTGTTGAGGCGCAAGCTAGGAGAGTTATGATTTCTGTTGACACTTTCCGATGGGAGGTCGCGGAAGAGGCTATTCACGCAGGAGCGAATTGTATAAATGACGTTTACGCTTTCAGCGGACCTGGATTCCCCGTTGAGAAAGAGGATCATTTTTTCAAGATGAGGCAGGTCGCGAGAGATCTGGCTGTCCCTGTTATCCTTATGCATTCAAGAGGAGAAGCATCCTTCAACAAAGATTACACGGCTTACAATTATGCTTTGGACTCAAACGGAAGAGGTGCAGTCATCGAAGGTGTCAAGGTAGAACTTGGAAAGAAAGTTGATGCCGCTGTCCAAGGGAAAGGAGGTCTGAGAAGATGGTATGTTATCGTGGATCCTGGAATCGGGTTTAGTAAGACCGTGGAAGGAAATTTGGAGGTTCTACGAAACGCATCTGCTATCACAGAACTCCAACCTCCCAGTGGACCTCCATTAAGAGGGTACCGGAACCCTTTAGCCGGATATCCTCTTCTCATAGGTGCTTCCAGAAAATCATTTTTAGCCGGAATCCTGGAACAACCTGATACACAGGGGACTTATGCAGGACGTGACACTCAGCCCAAAGAAAGAGGATGGGCTACAGCGGCTGCGGTTGCATGCGCCGTCCAACAAAAGGCAGCTGTTGTTAGGGTTCACGATGTGTTAGGGAAGGGGGATGTTGTCAGAGTCGCGTCTGCGTTGTGGGGTTGAGTTCTAGTCTGCGACTGTGTTCCATCTGGTTAATCTACACCGAGCAGGAGATTGGTTATTGAACAGCAGGAGAGTCAGTAGACAGTAGACATATATCCATCTTTGCTAGACTTTTTTGTTTATCTCAAATTTTCCAATAGTCTGCCAAGTTTCACTTTTCCGACTCAGGGCAGAATCACAGTCATAGACAGAAGGCACGTGCTGTGGTTCTTTCGAATATTTGCTCCTGTTTGTTTGTCACTATCGACTGGGAAGCTTTACGTTCAAACTTCAAACTAACACTTTCATCTCAGCTTATTATAATCTCCACATTTCAGTAGCCTCGATTGCATATCCCTTTGCGAGTTCGATCGACTGGTGTACTTCAGCAGTTCGCTATTATTTTGAATGAAGCTGAAGGAGAACCGTCACATGCATTTAAGGACTCACTGTTGTCATCGTCCTGATTACTTGGTGACTTTAAGTGGCCTGTGGGTACGGATCCGGAGGTCTACTTAGGTAGGAGCAGTCATTCTCTCGTCCACACGTTCACGTATGCACCACGCAATATTACTGATAAGTTACTTACTGTACATTTTTTGAATTGCGAAGCAAACACACAAGAACATGTCTTCCCAAGATTGCACCGCTTCGATAGCTCAGTCGGTAGAGCGCAGGTCTCATATAATGATCACTGATTTCGGTGAGCAATCCTGAGGTCGTGAGTTCAAGCCTCACTCGGAGCAATGAACATTTCTTTTTTTCTCCTGTTCCTGAAGTCTTACATGTCCTAAGTTTGACCCCGAAAGACTTTGAAATTGAAAAGACACCAGCATCGCAGATTCCCGATGTTACATGTATACGCGTGAGTGATTGTGATTCCTGTTTTCATGCTTATTCATCAATCCGAAATACCGGTGCAACGGATTATACGCTATTCATAAATAGGAACCTCCATTCAGTAAAGACAAGAAATCAGGCGCCTTTTTCTTACCAACCCGCAAAACCGGGGATTGTCAAGAGAAGCACACCATTTAGCTTTGTTCAGAAACATTACACGGCCAATCCCCTTCTTGCACCTTTTCATTTTCTTGCTTTGAAACAATGAGTGTATACCGAAAATTCATTTCTCTTCACACTTTACAGAAGGGCTATATCCCGAATACCTCGCGCTGTAAGCAACCATGGGACTTTGTCCCCATCTGATCTTTCTACAGTCGATGGAGGCTCATAGAAGAAAAAATATAAAAGGTGGGGTCATGCAAACTGTCCTCTTAACCACCCCAATCTGCTAAACCTACCACTCTTACATTGACTAGCTTGTATCTAACGCGTCGAAAACCACGATGTCTGGAACATTCTTTTCTCGCCCTGCTTTTCAGACCAAACTTGGTATTCACCGCAAGCTTGCACCGAATGCTGGTTTGCATGCCTCTCCCATTCAGCTTGGCGCTGGGAGCATCGGCGACAAGTGGGAACAGTTTGGCTTCGGCACAATGGACAAAGAGCAGAGCTTCAAGCTCCTTGATGCTTACTATGAAGCTGGTGGTAATTTTATTGACACCGCTAATGCCTAGTATGTGCTTCTGAACGTCATAAATATTATGCTGATATTTTGTTACCCCCCTTTTTCAGTCAAGACGAAACCTCTGAACAGTTTATCGGAGAATGGATGGAGAAAAAAGGAAACCGAGATCAGATTATCATTTCTAGCAAGGTATATCAAATATTCTGATTTCTCCTTCTCTTCATTAATGACAGGATCCTTTCAGTATACGACAAACTACAAACGAGGTGCTAAAGATATACCACAACAATCGCAATATACTGGTAACAACACTAAGTCTTTGCACATATCGGTCGAAGATTCTTTGAAGAAGCTCCGGACCAGCTATATCGATATTTTGTATCTTCACTGGTGGGATTATGATACACCGGTCGAAGAGGTCATGAATTCTTTGCATAACCTTGTCGCCTCTGGCAAGGTACTCTATCTGGGTATCTCCGATACGCCTGCCTGGGTTGTCGCTCAAGCCAACACTTATGCAAAAGCTTATGGGAAAACTCCTTTCGTCATTTACCAAGGAGCTTGGAACATCCTCTCGAGGGATTTCGAGAGGGAAATTATTCCTATGGCTAAATCCTTCGGTATGTTTCTAAAATCTCGTACAAAGATCGCAATACTACATGCTTATATTTGTCTTAATTTTTCTTCGTATGGACAGGCATGGCTTTGGCACCTTGGAACGTCCTTGCTGGGGGAAAGATTCGTACTGATGAGGAAGAAAAGAGGAGACGGGAGACGGGAGAGAAGGGTAAACCATTCCAATATGTGTATTTGCAACCTCTGCTAACTAAACTCTTTCGCATTCGAAGGCAGAACGATTTTTGGTCCGGAATGGGAACGTACCGAAACAGAAGTAGCTATCTCCAAAGCTCTCGAGAAAGTGGCAGCAGAAGTTGGAGCCAAAACTATCAACGCAGTGGCCATCGCATATGTTCTTCAGAAAACTCCATACGTCTTTCCTATCATCGGTGGTAGGAAAGTAGAGCATCTTCTGGCTAACCTCGAAGCACTCAATTTGAAACTCGAGAAGAAACACATCGAGTATTTGGAGAGCATTGTTCCCTTCCAACTAGGATTTCCTTATGATTTCTTTGTGAGCATTCTATCATTGGCTTGCTACGAGATTGAATTGAATGACATTAATTCCTTTTCTACTCTCTACAGGGAAACGGGTCGGATTATAACTCTCTCTTCAAGACTGCTGGGTACTTTGAAAAGTGGCCCGTTCAAGAAGCTATCAAGCCCCCTTACATTGCCGAGTCTTCCTGATTAGTTTATTAGTTATGAATCCTCTTGTTGGCAATTGGAACGATGTGATGAATTTGATGTTTATGTGGGCGTATGTTCATCCTGAAATTTTGCTGTATGTATGCCACCTAAGTTTGTAGGTACTTGTAGATATTTCTATTTGTCGAGATTACTAGTGGCAGATTAGCAATATGATAAAGTCACGCCGTGTTCGATGTCATCCCTCCTCACAGTGCCACGTGGCAATTCTTACGGAGAAGAACAACTTAAATCTCGTTAGTATGGTCTTTAATACTTACCATCATTACCCTGGCAGCTATATCCTCATCCCCCTCCTTTATTGAGTATCTGGAAAGGTTTGATATGAATCTTGTTACAGTTTCATCTTACCCTGACTGAGGAAATCTGATACACATCTACGAAGCTTCCACTATAGAAGTGTGCCCACCTTTCGACACGTACCATTCATTTGCGAATTGTAAATGATTCTCATAGGAAATTTGCGGTGCGCATTGGTGTTTACTTGACATGTGTGTATATATTTAACAATCTCCTGCGGTTAGGATTCTTCCGAAAATATGATACAACATGCGTATGCAGTATCAAATCGCAGCGAATCCTCAAGGGCCTTGAGATTGTGATGACCTGACATGGTTCAATAATCCGCATTCAGTGGCATTTCAGGCTGTAGGCGACAGCACGAGGTTACTGTGCTGTACTTGCCTGCAACCAACCTGCCTCCAAATGACAAGGCGCTTCCATAACTCGTAGATCTTGACTCACAGCACATTGATTCAACACTTCGACGAAGCAATCCAGCAACGGAAATTCATCTTCACAGGTGAGATGTTTCCCCATTGGTGGCTGTATTCATTGTTCTGACTTTTCAGTGATTCTAGATCTCCGTTTGTGAGCGTCTGTTGTCAATGCCACTCGTTGTTCTTCCTCCACGTTGTGATTTTTTGCACCCTACACGACACTCAAACAAATATGCATACCATATCCTACGGCGGTGGACCACGTCTTGACTCAGTTTTGACTGCCTTTCAATCGTGCTTCATTGGCTTTTTACCGCCTTAAGGAGGCGCAAGAACCATGGACCATGGCCACGAGGTAGTACTCAAAGGACCCTTTGGGAGCCACTCCGGACAAATTGATGCGATGCCACTTGATTTTTTTGTGTTTATATATACCATTGGTCCATTGTGGCCACAATGGACCTTTGAATCCAACTTTACGATATCTCTGCTCGTCTCTCTCGCTTGCTGCTCGTACATATTTCTGCCTCCTCCCTTCTCTGTGGTTCGCTTCGCTCTGTCAGTTCTCAATGGTACTTTCTGTGGCGTCGTCGCTGATCTCGGTTATAAACTATTAGGTTGTTTTATTGGTTTCGTTATTTCCATTTTGCAGCATAGTTTATCAATTGGTTGGAACGTTGAAGTTGTATTAACATTATGTGAGTCTCTCTTCTTTTGACATTACATTACATCTGATCCGTGTCTGCTATGTTCAGATTTTGCGCTACCACTTCCCTCACCTCATTTATCTCCCCTTGCGATATCCTATACACATCTTGCATCAAGAATCATACCATGTTTCCATTCAGAAGAAGAGATCGAAAAGTCTCAAATGATCCAATCGTTGTACCACTACGATCGACATTGCGAAGGCCATCATTTTCGAGGAAAATATCGGCCACTATTCGAAATCGGACTCGTGCTGTCTCTAATATCTCTCGTCGAATTATCAACCACGTTGCGATACCCCAGAACTCAAATTCGGGATCTTCCACGCTGTATGACCAGGCTGCGGACTATCCTGGTCAGAGTGTAGGAAGGTCCTTTCAGGTATACAGGGACGAATATTTATCAGGTCAGCGTCGCCAACACCCAACTCACCAACAGCAGATGGAATCTGTCAGTCCTTTCACTCCGACTGATGCGGCTGTTCCCAGTTTTACTGCTCGTCGGGGGAGTTTCCTCTCATTAAGCGATGATGAAGAGAATTCTGTCCCTAGAAAACCCATGAACTTCTTGCAACGAAAATTGAGCAAACCGAATCAGTTTGGCAGAACTCAACGATCACCTTCATGGGTCTCTTTCCCCGACAACGACCAATCTGGCAATACTCAGTCACCTGAGGGTTCTGGAACCCCGGTACCACCTTCCCCTCCACCCAAAGACCTCCTGGGAGAGCGAACTTATGATCTAGGATACCATGACATGGGACACGGAATTTTGCGATGGCGAAATGACAACGAATCCGCAAAGCAGACCCTCTATGTTGAGGTAATGTTTAATAATATTCGGCATTTTGTCCCCGTGGTACACCCTCCCCAAGTCGAGTATGCAAACGTTCCCATTCCTCAGCGCCGACAATTACCTGTGCCAGAACTGGTACAGATATTCAGAATGTCGCCTGCTGAATGTCATTCCCCGGTTGGAGAGAAGTCCCCAGTCAAGGTCAACACCGATTCCGATATTTATATGAAGGAGTTGGACTTTATTTCATCCGCACCGTCTCCAACTTATTCTACGGGTATGAGAAAGATTGGCCTCGTTCCTCCTTCTGAGACATTCAAATTTCAATGTTCACCCGATTACGCTGATGCCGCAGAACAAGGCCAATGGTTGGTGACTCAAAGGAATATTCTCAACGTAGACCCATCGGTAACAACAAGGACGTGGATCACTGGTTCTGTACTCGGAGAAGGCGCGTTTGGACGAGTGTATTTGACGTATCACGTTCCTAGTCGACAAGAAGTGGCTATGAAAGTCATCTACGTCAAGCGACCTTTCAACAAAGGCGCATGTCAGGGTATCGTGAATGAACTGAAGGTTTTCGATATGATATTGAATGCAAGGCACGATCGCGAGCTACAGAATTACTTGTTGGCTCCTATCACTTGTAGTAACTTATGGGCTTGGCAAT